AAATGTACAAGGAACCTTGAAGAACATCTTTGGTTTACTATAGAGGGAACAAGACTGACACTCAGAAGAGCTGATCTGGAAGAAACAATTTAGACAAGAACGTTAACAATTCCCATTAGGTATTTTTAGCTAATTTAAGAGCTTATTACACATGCTCACACAAACACAGACACACAGACTGATACGACAGAAAGGAAAAAACAAAGAAAGTATGTTTCTGAAATTTGAAACATTATTGCCAAAAAAATCAATAGAAGGACTTGGAGGAAAAAAATCGGGAAATAGCTCAGGATTTGAAAATAGAGAAAAGTTGAGCTGTAGATGATCAATTCAGAGGGTCTAACACTTGATGGCCATACGTTTTGGACAGTAAGATAGGAAGGGAAGAAATAATCAAATAAATTGTACCACATGTCATCAATTCTAAAATGACCTCCCCTCTAAAATGCATTATTATTTCATGTATTGCTAAGGAAATAAAAGCTGTGCCAATTGAATTATGATACAATACTTTGTTTCACTTCAATTTTTATTTAGAAATATGTAAAGAGTTCCTTTAGGTGTGTTTAGATACATATTTTGTTGTCTTCTTCATATGTAAAATGCAATATTTTCAAAACAAATCGCAAAATAACTAAAAACCATATTCAGAATCTGGTTCTTTTAAATGTTTATGGGGCTTAAAACCATAGATGTTCATTTTTTCATCACAGTATTCTTTGTTCTGCCAGCAAGAACTTTGGTATGTGGGCATTACCAAACGTGAGCAAACATAGCCCTATTGTCTGGGATTTTCTTCCAAGCTACTGACACTCCTTCTGCAAGTTTTGATGTTAGCGTGTGATAGGGAACCCTATAACACAGGGTTATAGGGTTGTCCTTTCTTAGGTCCTATAAATTATGGATTATGGTCATTGCTTTGCAAGAAAATTGGGAATTTCACTCATTCTTCCAAACCTAGATATTCACTTCTCTAATATCAAACTCCACATCACCGTTTCACTTCAGTAATTTTTGGCATTTACAGTAATTTTTTAAGGCCAAATAATAATATAATCTTTAAAAATTAATGGCAACTATACTCGACACACATAGCATCAACAATAACTTGAAGTGAAAAAAATAAAGACACCTATGACTAAAAACAAACACATATGGACAATGAAAATTACATCTAGACATATCTTACTTTCAGAGGTGTGAAGATGTGCAAGAATGGCTCTTATTATGAAATACAGTATACTGGTGATATTTTTGATCAGATTTTTATTTTTTCTATGTTCATCTGTCCAGTATTGAAAGAGGCATGTTGAAATTTAAATTTTATCTTCATTGTGAATCATACCCTTTCTATATCAAAAGACAGCATTCCTCCATTTTAATTCACTTCCTTAAAGTCCACCTTTTCTGCTAGTAATAGTTTGACTCCTGCTGTCCCTTTATTTAAATTTCCCTGATATATCTTTGCTGATTTGATGTCACTTTGTTTGAGGTATGCTAATTGAAAACCACATTTGACCAAACACCGTTTTTCATTTTCAGTCTAAAAGATTTTTATCTTTCAATAAGGAAGTTACTTTTAGTTCCATTATTAAATTTACAATATTTAGTCTTATTTCTCTTAGCTGGTTTTAGTCCTCCTTGCATCACATTATACTATGATTTCTCCATTCTTCTGTTAAATTTTTTTTATTGTGAAATGTATCACTGATACAACACAATGGATATACATATATGTATATTTAAAGATTAATAGTAAGTTGAATAAGTATCTAATATCCACTATCCAACTTCAGAAACAGAGTATTAGGAATAATTTTGAAGCTTCCTGTTGATCTGATTACATTCTTTCCTTGCCCTGGATTTCGTACTATCCTGTATTTTGTGTTAGCAATTCCTTTGCTTTTTCTCTATAGCTTTACTACATAGATGTAGCTCTAAACAACATAATGACCAGTTTGCTTATTATTTAACTTTGTGCAAATGCAATTGACGCTTGTTATTTTTACTCTGCATTGTTTTATGCTGATAGCTGTGATTAATTCATTTTCCCTAATATATGGTGTTCTGTACAAATTTGTACAACCTTGTACCTTGTGTTCTGTATGAAAGGTGCTGACAGTGTGAATGGTGCCCGAGCCGAGTAAGGTGATAACCCTGATTCCTTTGTATGAATACAACACAATTTATTCATTTTAATAATTCAGCATTTTTTCCTAGGGTTTCTTTTAGCATTTTTTTCTTGCTGTGATGAAATAGTGTTGCTATGAGCATTATTTCACATGTCTCTTGAACATACAGTTTTTCTAGGGTTTCTAAATAGGAGTGGAATATCTGGTAATAGTGTATACAAATACATGCATTAATAAACTGTTTTTCTCTTGCTAATCTTTTTGTTAAAGAGCCTCAGCTGAAAACCTAAGGTGATGGCTAGAAGTAAAGTTTCCCTTACCTACAAAAGCATAAGATGGACTGGACTGCCATTGCTGACTTTGAAACTGGAAGAAAGCCACCAAAAAAGGCCCCCAGCTGACAGGCAACAAGAAAACAGGGACCTGATTCCTACCACCACGTGGAGCTCAGTGCTGCCAGTAACCTGAATGTCTCTGGAAATGGATTCTCCCTCAAAACCCCCAAAGGAGGCAGCCCTGCCGACACTCTCTCTGACTTTGACACTGTAAGACCGGGGTAAGCCACTGACCTACAGAATTGCGAGACGAAGATCCTTTACTCAAGCCACTGGGATGGTGGTTAAGTGTCAGCAGTAAAAACCAACACAGTGGATGAGCTTGGCTTGTGATAGTTCTGTTGATCCAAATGCTTTTAAATAACCTAATCAATGTTATTGTAAATTAATTGTTTTCTCTAGTTGTGTTAGTCTTTAACTGGCAGGAGGAGGCCATGAACTGAGACATATCACAGCTCAGTTAAGGCCAAGACAGGTTTGGTGGAACGCAGACACGTGATCAGTCTTCCAAGCAACGTTTTATAGTAACCGTCCCTAGTTCATCTCTCTGTTTCCTAGCCGCTTTGCCCTTCTTGTTTGTTCTAGGATGGACAGCTATGGAACAAACTTTGGCCAACCTAAGACTGTGGTTTTGGGGTTGAGGGGTGGAGCTCTGCTTCAAGTGCTGTGGGGAAAGAAGGAAGCTGACACAGAGAAACAATAAAACCAGAGATGAAGAAAGAGCCTAAGGCACTTGGGTCCATAGTTCTAGTTATTCCTCAAGCACTTTTCTCAACTTGATACTGGATGATAAATTGCTTTTTTCTAAGTTAGACAGAAATGTGTTTCTGTCATTTGCCAATGGCAAGAATCAGTGTTGAATGCTGTATTCATTTCCTGTTGATGTTGTAACAAACTGTTATAAACTTAGTGATCTAAAACACACAGATTCACCATCTCAAAGCTCTGCTAGTCAGAAGTCTAACGCAAGTCTCTGGGCTAAAACCAAGGTGCCTGCAGGGCTGCATCCCTCTCTCAGGGCTCCGTGGCAGACTCCATTTCCGTGTCCTTTCCAGCTTCTCCATCCACGTCCCTTGACTGGGCCCCTTTCCTCCATCCTCAGAAGCCAGCAACATTGAATCTCTCTGTGCTCTCCCTCCATGGTCACATCCCCCTCTGACCTCTAATTTCTATTTTAGTTTGCTTTCTTTTATGAATGAGATTGAGCATCTTGTCATGTGTTTACTGACCTTTTCTGTTTCCTCTTTTGTGAAGTATCCATTTCATGTCAATTTTTCTACTGGATTGTTTGCCATTTTCTTACAGATTCTTTCATGGCAACATTTAACCACTAAAGGATCTATCCTTTAGTGGTTAAATTTGTTAAACTATCATCTCCAGGTTTGTGCTTATATTTTTATAATTTGTATGGTATATTTTAAACTTAAAATACCTGTATTTTAATGTAGTTGATTTTGTCCATTGTTTGCCTTAACTGTTATGCTTTTTATATATTGATTAAGAAATCCTTCTTTGGGAATTCCCTGGTGGTCCAGTGGTTAGGAATCCGTGCTTTCACTGACAAGGGCGTGGGTTCAATCCCTGGTCGGGGAACTAAGATCCCGTGAGCCTTGCAGCATGGCCAAAAAAAAAAAAAAATCCTTCCTGTCCCTAAAGTCATACAGCATTCTGCTATATTTTCTTGTAAAGCATATAAAATTTTCATTTCTCGTTAAGTATTTACCATCTCAATAATTGTTTACTTCTTTTAAATAAGGAATTTTTCCCAGCACGCTGTATTGGGCTGTCATTTTCCTATTGACCTCTAATACCATTTCTTTTCTATTTCACATTTCACATATGAGTAAGTATGCTTCTGGGCTCTTCTGTACTATTAATCTGTTTGTCTATCCCTGTGTAAACACCACACTGTATTACCAGGGCTTTATGACAATCTTCAATATCCAGTAGAGCAGAGCTCTGCAACTTGATCTTCTTCTTTAGAAATGTGTTATAAATTTTGGCCTTTTGCTTATTCATATAAATTTTTAAATAAATTTGTCAAGTTCCATAGAAGCATTGCTAGAATTTGGATTAGAATTACATTACATCAATAGAACAAGTAGGGGAGAACTGACAATTTTTTAACTCAAGGTCTATTCGTGATATGAAATATGTCCATTTATTTTGGTCATCGTTAATGACTGTCAATAGCACTTTATAATTTACAACGTTAACAGTCTTATCTTTTGTTAATTATCATTCCTAAGAACATTATATTTTTAGTGCAAAATTAATTACATTTTCTAACTATTGCTTTTTAGATGCATAAAAATGCAACTGACCCTTGTCTAATAATGATATTGTGTACTACTATAGCAGGTATTGCTCTAACCTCTTTATCAACCTATTAAATCCTCTCAACAACTCTGTGAGGGGGTCCTGTGATCATAATTACACTTTATTTTGGCATTCAAACCACCGCATCAATTTGGTCACAGGGAATTTGAAGTAAGGCAGGGTAGGCAGAGTGACGTACAATGACTGCAGCTCTTTATGGAGAAGAGAACTTGCCGCAGAACAAAATGCTGTTGGTTTCATGGTGCCTGATGAAGAAAAGGAAAGGGTGGTCTGCACAAAATCTTGGCTCAGTTCTGCTGCACTGGGAGTTCCTGACCACGGCGGTGGCCGCAGCTGCCTCCGTGCCCTCCTCGTTGACCTCTACAAAGCACCTGTGCACGACCCTGGACATGGGCACGTTCTTCTTGGCTGACATTCCAGAAAAGTCGGCCTTGGCTTCCTCAAAAGCATCAGTCATTCCTAACCTTCGAAGAAAAGCCTCCAAGTCATAACCCTCCTCCAGCTTTACTCTGGGAAGAAAAACTTGAACTTTATCCTTAGTCAGCTTTTCTGGATTTGTCCAGGCTCTGAACTTCTCATATGTAAGTGCCTTTTCCACCTGAAATAATGAAGAGTTAAATCTTAAAAGCTAGATGTCAAGAGCCTGGTACCCACCCATCCCCCCACTCATTAACACCTCCACACACATGCATGACCTGCAGCTAGATGGTGAGATCTGGTCCAAGACAATCTAAGGGATATTTCCTCTTATAAACACACCCGGATTTCCCCTCAAATTCTTGCATTTTCCTTGTTTTATGGATACAAGAGAAGAACAGTTAGAAAACACCTGAGACAAAGATAGGGTTTTATTTTTAAGTATCTGTACCAAATTCATTTCAAGCGTTTTTTTAGTTTAGAAAATTCTCATAACCAATTGATTGTATTCATGCGAAACACTTCACCATGAGTTTGAGAACTTGCTCGACAAAAGGGAGACAAAGCATGGCTCAGAACTCTGATGGATGAAAAATGGGGAAATCGGGGATCATCTGAACGGGAAGGAAGACGTGGATTCTGGGAAGGGGAGAGCAGCAGTGGGGAAGTCCACAGGATGACTGCTTCTGGCATCCTTGTTTGCCCTCTGCCTGCCCTGGAGTTTCAAAACCTACAAGACCCAGAACTCATTCTATTTATCCACAGGGAAGAAATAAACGAGGAAGAGGGGGCTTCCACTTGCGTCCCCACTTCCTTCACCACCTGGAGTCCAGGTGAGTTCTCTCCCGTGACAGCTGGGTTTGGATGTCGGCTCTATTCCTAGACTCTCCTAATTTTCTTCTCAAGTCGCCGTGACAGAGCTCATCCTTGACTTATGCCAGGACCTTCCTGATTCCATGGAGAAGCCAGGGAGATCAGGCAGGCCCTAGCCTCACAGCGGTGTGCTGGTGTCTAGGCGGTGGGCTGGAGCTGGCTTGTATCTCCGGTGCGAGTCAATTGTTAAACCCTCGGGAGCCTAAATTCAGCCATGGTGGGGGTATTTACACCACAGGAATCACTAAATATCATAATGCTTCCCCTGGTGTAGAGAGAGCCAGATAACCAGCATACTATCACTCTTGTGCCTCCCACCCTACAAAGTTACTTTCCCCCATCCTGAACCCCCACTTTCTGTCATGGGAAGATGTCTTCCTCCTGTCTGAGATAAATTCCTCACCTGTACTTTAGACTCTTGCTCCTCAAGTTGGTCTATGACCAACGGCATCTGCATCACTTGGAATCTTGTGAGAAATGCAAAATCTCAGGCCATAACTCCCCCCAAATCAAAGTCTGCATTTTAACAAGATCCCATTAGGTTAATATGCACATTAATGTTTGAGGGACACTGCCCAGATCCGTTCTTATCCTTTTCCTGTCCTTTTGTTCAGTAATTATTGGACTCTCAACTAGCCCCTCCCTTCAAAATAAATAATAATATTCTTATATTTTTGTAAGTCTCTCTTCTAAGCTTCATCAAAATTTGTCAATACCAGCAATTCCACTCCTAGTTGTACCCTCAACAGGAAATGCATACACATGTTCACCCAAAGACATGCAGCGGTGTTCATTTAGCACTCCTTAAAATAATCCTAAATTGGAAATTCCTCAAATGCTATCTGGTGGATGGACTTTTAAAAATGAGCTTAGCCTGGATCCATGGACACTCAGACTCATTGCCAAGGGCTTACCACAGTGAGATCTGTGTTGTCATCAGGCAGTAAAATGAGCATACTCAGCACCCCCTCCACGTAGGGCAGCTCCAGGACCTGGGCGTGCACCTGCTCCACATACCCCATTTTAAATTTAGCTTATTGCTTAAACATCATCTGCACTGTCTTCTTCTCCTAATAAGAATACAACATTAAAATCAAATTACTGAAAAATGAGCGCAGTGCACTAAAAGGTATGTCTGATTCGCAGAATCCCTAGGTACATATAATTATTATTTCTATGCACTTATGCTGATGTAAAGTCTTCATTATTACATATTAGTGTTGAGTATAACATTCTGTTGCCCCAGCAGATCAAGTATTATGAGGCGGGAGAGAATCAACTGATGAATATAGAGAGACACAAAACTATATTATTCTCAGAAGAAATTGTGGGGTTTTTTCTCTTTTGAGAAGATGGGTAGAGAAGCACTCCCAGGGCCCTTTTAATTAAAAAATTATTTCTCGGGCTTCCCTGGTGGCGCAGTGGTTGAGAATCTGCCTGCCAATGCAGGGGACACGGGTTCGAGCCCTGGTCTGGGAAAATCCCGCATGCCGCGGAACAACTAAGCCAGCGCACCACAGCTACTGAGCCTGCGCGTCTGGAGCTTGTGCTCCACAACAAGAGAGGCTGCGACAGTGAGACGCCCGCGCACCGCGATGAAGAGTGGCCCCCGCTCACTGCAACTAGAGAAAGCCCTCACACAGAAACGAAGACCCAATACAGCCAAAAATAAATAAATATATTCATTAAAAAAAAAAAAAATATATATATATATATATATAAATTATTTCTCCAAGTTAAGGGGAAATTTAACTAATTCAGGTTTTTAGGCAGAAAGATCTGGTTGGAAAAGGTATATAGGCCAGAGGGAGTTATACTTTTTTTTTCCCAATAAATTTATTTATTTATTTTTGGCTGCGTTGGGTCTTCATTGCTGCGCACGGGCTTTCTCTGGTTGCAGCGAGCGGGGGCTACTACTCTTTGTTGTGGTGCGTGGGCTTCTCATTGTGGTGGCTTCTCTTGTTGCGGAGCATGCGCTCTGGGCACGCGGGCTCAGTAGTTGTGGCTCACGGGCTTCGTTGCTCTGTGGCATGTGGGATCTTCCTGGACCAGGGCTCGAACCCATGTCCGCTGCATTGGCAGGCGAATTCTTAACCACTGTGCCACCAGGGAAGCCCCGGGAGTTATACTTCTATTCTGAAAACTTGCTCAATTATATAATTGGCTTTATGGCCTTGCTTTTCTTGAAGGGGGAACCTTGATCAGATGTCTAGGGTCCACCATTTTTAAAGCTTGCATCAAATATATTCTAGATTTATAAATTTTTGTGCAATACGCTGTTATCAAGCGGATGGAGGTCAAATTCCAAGCTAACAGTTACTGACCCCAGCCGTTATCATATTCAAAAGTGAATGGAGAAAAGTGTTTTTAAAGTTAGGCATGTAATTCTAGAAATCAAATATACAACATGATGCTACAGTTAACAATACTGTATCAAATACTGGAAATTTGCTAAGAGGATAGATTTCAGGTGCTGTCATCACAGAAAATATATGGTAACTATGTGAGGGAAAGATAATTAGCTTGACTGCGGTAATCATTTCACTATGTATATGTATATAAAATCCTCACCTTGTACACCTTAAATATGTATAATTTTTATTTTTTAAGAAGATCCAAGAATAAATAAAAACAAAGCTGGCCTGAACATTTGCTAACACTTTTTTTCTTGTATTAGGAATTGTACAGCCATGAATTCTGAGGCAATAAATAGTCATAGTTGTCATTGACTGTTGCAAGAAAGTGTCTAAATACAACAGTGATAGTAAAATACAACCATAATTCCAAGGCTTAGAAGACAGTTTCTTTCAATCCAAATAACATGACCAGGAGAGAAGATCGATTTGACCAAGGATCCAAAAACAAAATGATCAGTGTAACAATTATTTTAGTTTTTCTCTTTCCCATCCCAATAAGAGATATATAGGGGGCATGAAATTCCTTCAGAAATAATAAATTAAGAATCGAGACTGTGTGAAATAAATTATTTTTTTCCATTCACTCACAACCTTTCCCAGAGTATTACTTTAGAAAGTAGCTGTATATCTGCAAAATATGTCCCTACCTTGTTGGTTTTAAAGGTCATTCCCCTTGTGTGCTTTCTGTCAAATTGCTCATTCCACTTTCCTTTGAAATAGGTTGCATTCACGAGGACCAGCTTAGTCAGAGGACCAATTGCCCCAGCCCCCAGTATCTCTGAAACCTTTCCTGTAAAGAGTATGAGAGAAAGTTATTGCTATTGGGGGAGAATAAACATTCTTTTACAAAAGTTCTCTTGACATTGAAAGCCGAGGCTTGGTGGAGAAAAGGCTGGATCCTGTTGTTCTGGCTGCCTGAGGAATCGGGGTGATGGTGTTTCATTCTGTGCACACATACAGCGTAGTGTTTATCCTTAAACAACAGTCTTGAAGCAGGCAGGTCAACGATCATTTTGCCTCAATTTATAGATGTAGAAATTCAGGTTCAGAGTATTTGCCTGACCTTTTGCCAAGGTCACATAGGCAACCAAGTGGTTGAGCTGAGAAAATAACCCAAGAGTCTCGATTCCATCTGTAAGCTTCTCGACCTTGGCACCATAATTTCTCAGCCATGCCACTACTGGCATTTTAGGCCACATAATTCTTTGTTTTGGGGATGATCCTATGCATTTAGGATGTTTAGCCAGTATCACTTCCCCCAACTATGACAAGTGAAAATATCTTCAGTTATGGCCAGATATCCCCTAGAGGTTGATTCTGATTAAGAATCATTGCTCTGTGCCTACCTTCAAGTCTCATTTAGGTGAGAAGAGGCTTCCAAAGGATGGGGATACAGATCTGTAAATGGGAGAGGGCAGCTTCCTGGAGGGAGGGAATGGGGCAAAAGAATTAGGGGGATGCAATAAAGAGGCCCAAATTGAGTTGTCCAATGAGAGTGGAGACAAGGTGATCCCCAACCTCCCCTCCAGCTCTGCTATTCTGGGAAACCTTGGGTGGTCAACCTGGTGGAAGGAAGGGTGTGAGCAGCCACGGAGGGGGAAGTGGGTGGTGGAGGGAGGGTGAGGTGTGGAGAAGCTTCTGGGTTCCCTAGGTGACTCAGTGCTGCTAGATCAACTGGAGAGCCAGAGACCACTACACACATGACGTACGAAAATATCAACGTGAAAGTCTCTTCCCTTCCGATGGTCGTTGGCTGCCTGTGTGATCATGGGTATTGTGGCTGCCTGACGCGCAGTGGATGCGCCATAAGATGGAACGGATGGAATAATGAGTGCCAGGCGGGCACGTGAACAAACGAGTGACATAACCTCCCCTCCTGCTGACGTCTCTAAATTACGTGCTGAATACTTAGAGTTCTGAAAAGCACGTCCTTTTTCTCTGCACTCTAACTGAGAACTGGCAGAAATGTTTCTGGTGAGACAGAATGTGTCTGGACAGGGCACCCTGTATGCTCCACATTAGCTGCACTTCCAGAATCTGGAGCAAATTCAGAAAAGTAAACATAGCCACAGCCAAGTTCAGAGGGCAGGAGAGGGCTGCGGATGAAACTAGAGCGGCTCACATCACCACTGGGAGGTGACATGAAACGTTGTCCCACCTCAGCTATAATCTACATGGAATGTCCTCCTGCCCTTAGAGCACAGCAGTGTCCTCGCAGGTAGAAGTTAAATGGGGCACCAAAGAGGAAGCATTTTTCTGGGATGTTCCATTACCTTCCAGAGGGGAGGGCATCTGAGAGACTAACATTAGGTTTAAGCATTTTTCAGAAATCACCACTTCGTAAGCCCAAGAAAAATATCAGAATTGCATCAATGGCCTGAAAGCCCAGCAAACACACATAAACAGGCCACTGGTTACAGGGTCACAGTGGCCACCCGTGGAGGTCACATCCCAGGTTACAGGGTCACAGTGGCCACCCCGTGGAGGTCACATCCCAGGTTAGGGTCACAGGGTCACAGTGGCCACCCCGTGGAGGTCACATCCCAGGTTAGGGTCACAGTGGCCACCCGTGGAGGTCACATCCCAGGCAATCTCAGCTCTGTGTCCCTCATAACACCACATCTCCCGAAATGAAAATCTCTCACCTTCAGTCTTCTCCGTCACCCAGTCATTTATGTGTTTCCTGCATTCTTCAGTGTCTTTAGAAAAGGACAGTTCCTCCAGGTCTGCCAGATAGAACTTCCGGCAGGATTCCTTAAAAGCCTAAAAATGCAAAATACCTAGTTTGGCCGTATTCTACTTGTCAAAGTTTCCTAAAAGTGTGAAAACATTTCTTTCTTAACGTGTTTCTAGCACAAATGCTTGCACAGGGCACCCTGTACTTTAAGACTCATTTATGCAATTAATCAAAATGTATAGACTGCTGGCTTTGTGCCTGGCACTGTGCCAGGTGCTGGACACCAGGGTGAACACATGACCTTGGACCTAAGGTGGCTCACAGTCTGCTGAGGGAGAAACATATACACACGATAATTACAATATGTTTTGGGGTTTTTTTTTTGCGGTACGCGGGCCTCTCACTGCTGTGGCCTCTCCCGTTGCGGAGCACAGGCTCTGGACGCGCAGGTTCAGCGGCCATGGCTCACGGGCCCAGCCGCTCCGCGGCATGTGGGATCTTCCCGGACCGGGGCACGAACCCGTGTCCCCTGCATCGGCAGGCGGACTCTCAACCACTGCGCCACCAGGGAAGCCCCTACAATATGTTTTGAGAATACAGACGGCGGCAGCCATGCACAAAACAACCCGTGAACATTCCTGTCAAACGCTTAAACTCCATATTGACTTTGTTTGATTTTGTCTCCCCTACTAGGTGGTCTAACCCTGTTTTACTCATTTTCGTATCATCAGCACCAACCACAGTGTCTGAAACATCCTTAGGGAATGATTGGGAGGCTCCATAGTAGAACTAGATTATCAACAAATCTTACAGGTCCTCCAGGAGTGGAATCATGTGTGTGCGTGGGGGGTTGGGATAAAATCAAGAAGGTTGTTATATGCAATACATTAAAACCCAAGGATAACTCACCTCATGAAAACTTGTTTTCTGATATAATGTGCCTGGCAATGCGCTCCCATCCTCCGCCCATCTCCTGTTCTCAAACATTTTAGCTTCTACAGAAGAAAGAAGATGTAGAGAGAAGGACCCAAGCAACGAAGAAAAGTGGAGAATGGTTCCCTGTGTCCCCAGTATTCCCCAATTACAGTATTCAAAGGTCAGTCTGATATTCAAAAACGAGTATCAATTAACCAGGAGATTCCTGGAATCACTAGTGCTTATCCTAGAAAACCTAACTAGCTGAGGGATCCAGAATCATCTCCAATAATATTTAAGCCCAGAGCAGGCAACCTCCACAGGGTAGCACCCAACAGCAGCTAGAACACGATTATATCTGAGTCTAACAAAATAATCCTTGGAACTGCTGGCCAATAAGATGGCCGGACTTGTCCTGATCTTTTCATTCATCTTAAGATAGCATCACTCTGCATATTATGTGGCATAATTTTTTGGACTTCACTTATTGAATTGGCAGGCTTTTACTGGACTAGGGAACTTTGGAATTATATGTTGCAGTAAATAGGAACTACCCAGATTCAAAATCTGATTTTTTATGAACAGATTTTAATTTTAGAAAGATTATTCTGTCAGTAGTGTGAGAAGACTAGGCTTAATGTGGAGAGATCCACTGTGAAACAATTAAAGTAACAGTGTAGAAGGTGTGAGAGTCTGGACCCAGGCAACGGCGGTGGTGATTCGGAAGACAGGACAAACTTAAGAGACTCTGCAAGGCCAGCTCCACAGAAACAGCCCAACAATCAGAGATGAGACCAGGGGATGGCGAGAGTGATGTGGTCACTGAGAAGGGGATCAAGGGGGAGAGGCAGGTCTGGGTGCAGGAAGATGGACAAATTGAAATTGATATCTGGGAAGATATATCAGAGACAATACTTTTTTTCAAAGGACACAATTCAGAAGCAATCATAAAATTCAAAATTACAATTACAAAATATAATTCTAAGCACTTTTTTTTTTTTTTTTGCAGTACGCGGGCCTCTCACCGTTGTAGCCTCTCCCGTTGCGGAGCACAGGCTCCGGACGTGCAGGCTCAGCGGCCATGGCTAACGGGCGCAGCCGCTCCGCAGCACGTGGGATCTTCCCGGACCGGGGCACGAACTTGCGTCGCCTGCATCGGCAGGCAGACTCTCAACCACTGCGCCATCAGGGAAGCCCAAAGCACATTTTTAAGGCAGCAGAGCTACACTTTATCTCTGCTCTTCTGTAGTTTCTGTATTATTTTCAATTTCTTTTTCATCAGTGTGCGAGCACTACTTACTGGCAGGAAATCACATGTCTTTTCCCCAAAGAGTCTGTTGGCAGTTCTGAGCAAGTAATGAGGGCCAGATTTGTTCAATTCCATGAGAAGTGACTGGAATCCTTCGTGAATATCTCCACCTTCGTTCAAACAAAGTGCCTGGTAATAGAAGACGAGAACGGCAACTTTTGACATGCTGTTTCTCCCCCAAAGAGCTATTTCCAAACAAATTTCTACACTGAAAATCACCGAGAATCCTATTTTAAAATGAGTTTTGTTTAACCGTCTAGCACAGGGTTCCTCAACCTGGCAGTATAGACTTTTGGGGCCACATACTTTGTTGGGAGGCTATCCTGCACATCCTAGGATATTTAGCTGCATTTTTGGCCTCTGCTCACTAGATGTCAGTAGCACCTCTTGGTTATGACCACCAACTCTGTCCAGAATTTGTCAACTGTTTCAGGGAGGAAATATCGCCCCCAGGTGGAAAGCCCTGCTCTAGCAGATTTATCTATGCCAGGAAGACAGCATGTAATAACTCAGGAGGGAGACAGAACAGAACAAACAGGTAGTGGGAATGACCCACAGAAGACAAGATGAGCAGAAATGTTTCATTAGCAATTCCACAGAAGTTCTCCAGACCAGACTGTGACTTAAATGTCAGGTCAGAGTGAGAATCAAGGCTATTCCCTTATCTCCCAACAACCCCAGTCCAAAGCCTCATTCCTCCAGGGAGCTGGAAGAAAGAGCCACCAGGGATTCAACTGTGGCCATGGACATGCTTCTGGGGGGTGTCTGTGCACCCCGCTATTAGTGGGAACATGATGTGTATATGACAGTTTTCTGGGATACATTCACCAGACAGTCAAGGAAACTAAGACATAAATAGGGGAAGGTCTACTTTCCTAAAGTAATATCCACCACTTCACTGGTAGCTAAGGGCACATATAACCCATTTCAGATCAATCAGATAATATATTCCCTCTAAAAAACTCCAGAAGATATAAGTCCTCATTTGTGTTGCATTCGTCTTCCACTTATGCATAATTGTACACTAGAAACAACCGATTTAACAAAAAGGTTCATTTACACAGTTGCATTTCAATTTGAAATACAATGTTAGCAAAAGTTTAAAATAGGACAAAGTTGAAATTCTTGGCCTTTTTGTGAAACTAGCAGGAGATTCCGTCTTACACAATTCACCTTTCTACCCATGTCTGCTTTCTCTCCATCACCACGGTGCCCCTCCCACCTCCCAGCCTCACTGGCTTCCATCAGCTGGAGTGAAGGATGAACAGACCAGCTCTATGAAAGCACAGAGGAAGCCCGCCCTTGGTCTTCCTTTGTGGTGGGCATGCATACCTGGGACATCTGCGCCGCAGTGTTTCCTTTGGCCCCCATTAAGACCACGGTCAGGGCAGAGAGGCTCAGGGGAGAGAAGAACACGTTTCGCAAGTTGTCCTTTTCACCCAGCAGTTTTAATAAGTTGATGGCAAAAGTGCCATTTGCTTCACAGAGATCATCCATCAGTGAAGGTCTGTACCCAAAGCACAACACAGAAGCACATTAGCCATGCCCTCCACTAGCCACTGCTCACTAGTCACTAGTCACACCTCCACCCCTGTCTGTGGACACTGGGTATGGTCAGCAGAATAACTGCATCCCCAAACATCCATGTTGAATCTCCAAAACCTGTGACGATGTTATCTTACATGGCAATAAGGACTTGGCGTATGTGACTGAATTAAGGATCTTGAGATGGAGTCACCTGGATCATCAGGTGGGTTCAGTGTAATCACAGGCCTCTTATAAGAGGAAGGCAGGAGGGTCAGAGCCAGAGAAGGAGAAATGAGGATGGACGCAAAGGTCAGGACGGTGCGGAGCCACAGAACACAGGCAGCCTCTGGGAGCTGCAAAAGGCAAGGGAACAGACTCTGCCCTAGAGCCTCCAGACTTAAAATGTAGCTCTGCCAGTATCTTACGGACTTCTGACCTCCAGAACTGTAAGATAAATCCCCCTATTACTGACAGTCCTTCAGTTTACTGTCTCTGGCATAATTTATAAGCAATGTTCTATGAATTATAATATACTATAAATAAAAATGACATTTCTGTCACGATGTCACATGAAAACAGCTGGATGGATTTCAACAGATTTTGGAGGGTTTTTCTGGGATGGTCTGCCCTAAAATGTGGGCTCCTGGGAAGACACAAAATTTACTTTAAATCAGAAGGACTCGAAAACAATACACCATTTTCCACCGGAGCTGTTGAAACTGGGCTGGGAGCTGTGAAGGGAGCCCCTGGGCACGGAGGTAGAACATGAAGCCCAAATCTCAAGTCATCAGACGCACACTTAATCAGGCACTAATTTTGGATCCAGGCTTAACTTCCCCCCCCCCCCCGCTTGACTAAACTTTAGACAAGCGTCTTTCTGCCTCTGGTGCCTGACCTCTCTTTCCTTAGAGCACTTACTTTAGGCAATTTTCCCCCCCCCCCCAGCTTGACTAAACTTTAGACAAGCTTCTTTCTGCCTCTGGTGCCTGACCTCTCTTTCCTTAGAGCACTTACTTTAGGCAATTTGTCATCATAAGTTCTTTCTCTGCTCCTTTGAGAAGTAAACATTTTGAAAAGCCTCTTTCCTATTTTACAGCCCAAGACAATCCTTCTCAAGTCCCTCGAAGCCATCCCTTTAAAATGTAATTGTCAAGGAAGATAGTCTCCTTGGGATGGTGGGAGCAAAATCGCAGCAGGCACCTTGCTGCAAGTTGTGAAAAGTTTTTGCAGCATATTAATTTTTATAATTTTAGAAAAATTTTATAAATGCTGCATTTATTCCTATTAAACCTTCTAGAAACCTGAGCTGCTAGTCAGTAAATTATTAAAGTTCATCAGCTCATCTTGTTTTCCCTGAATCTCTTTGCTATTACAGTTGAAGACATTTTGGAAAATAAAAGGACAAATCATCACCCATAATCCCATGATGCTATAAGCTATTTTTTCTATTATGCTATCTTTTTTTCAATTGGTATGTATATTTGTAACTCAAAAATTGTAAAGCTACACAAGAAAAATATGTTCCAATTTGGAAAATTAGCAAACAAGAAAAGTACTGGAAACTCCACCTAGAGATAAGGGTCATCGTGCATGCGCTCATTTTTATAAACAGATGGGCCATTCTCTGGTCCTTCTTTCAGTTCCCCCCTAGAAGGGCCTCCTGCAGCAGTCTTGAAAGTGTATTTCATTTAGACTTGGAGGGGGTGGGTCTTCTGGGCCTCAAGGGCAGGAGGGGAAAGTGTGTGCGGAGCACAACTGCTTTAACCGGAGCCTCTTCACTGTTGAATGGTTCCTTTGAAACTTCCTCCTAAGATATTTTTTTCAAGAGATGTCTCTGGCTTAAAAGGATAAAAAAGGGTGGTGGGAAAAAAAAAAAAGAGAGAGAAACGGTGTGAAGTTCACACTCTAAATAGGAAACAACAGCCCAAACCAGTGCACATTCTTTAAAGTTTGAAAAAAATGTTTTAAAACGTCAACCAGGGACTTCCCTGGTGGCGCAGTGGTTGGGAGTCCGCCTGCCGATGCAGGGGACGCGGGTTCGTGCCCCGGTCTCGGAGGATCCCACATGCCGCGGAGAGGCTGGGCCCGTGAGCCATGGCCGCTGAGCCTGCGCGTCCGGAGCCTGTGCCCCGCAGCGGGAGAGGCCGCAGCAGTGAGAGGCCCGCGTACCGCAAAAAAAAAAAAAAAGTCAACCAAGAAAATACAACAATGGCACAGTTTGAAAACAGTGCCCTATACTTAATAGGTCATTTAATAGAGGACACAGTGTTAAGTTCCTCACTGACCTCACTTCAGTAAGTCCCTCCAGAGCCGTCAGCTGCAGGGCTTGAACCCTAGGTCTGCAAGGGTCAGAAGGCTGATGTGTCTGCAGTGGGCAAGTCCCACCGCAGAGCAAGCCTCAGCCTGCCTCCAGGCCACTTCTCACCCCACATTTCCTCACCTTATACTTGAGGATGTTTCGGAAAATAAAAACCTAGGAGCCAGGAGAGATATTCAAACTTGATAGCACTGCGCCTACCAGAAGGTGGCACCAAAGAGACTCAAAGAAGGAATTAGGTAAACTGGAGATGAAAGACAGGAATAAATTTGGATTTGATCTTACATGAGCATAAGAGTTTTGACCTGTGGACTGAAATAAAAAATGCACAACGTGAGATTAAGTTGTGAGCTAAGTTTTATTCGGGGGTCTTACTGAGGACTGTAGGCTGGGAGACAGCCTCTCAGAGAGCTCTGAGGAGGTAGGGGGAGAAGCATGATTTTAGGGAATGCACGCAGTCAGACATACATATCAGTAAAGGGTTACTGCTAGTCACAAGGACCAGATATCTCAGTTAGTGATTTTAGTGCTTTCCTACGTAGGAGAGGTGCAAGAATCTGGGTTCATTAAAATTTTTTCCTGCGATACCTCTCTCTAAGGAGGCTGTTTTCCCAAAGCACAGATGAGTGCCTCATCCTGTCTTTCATCCTGAATTCCTTTCAGCGTGCACTGTAGGTCAGTGACTGCAATGGCTAATGACCTGATCCTTGTAGAATTGGATGGCGGGCAACGTTCTTTGTTTTACAGGAACCAGGGTGAAGCAGACATAAGCTTGGGCTGATGAGTGTGAGTGTGTGTGTGTGTGTGTGTGTGTGTGTGTGTGTAGTTGTCCAATCTGAAAAGGCAAAGGAATGAACTGGAATATCACATCCATTTCCTCTTTACATTGTAACTGCTCTTAATTGTAAATGTCTATTTCTGGTTTCTTCCATATTGCCTCTTTCTTCATCTCATTTCCTCACCTCCATTCCTTTTCAACATCCAGGTGCTGGTCAGCAGCAGAGGACTTCCCATCAGCATCTCACCCCCAGCACTGACACACCGTCGCACACGCACACCAGTGCACCTCTCAGATGCACCCCAGCTCACACCAGTGAAAAGATTTTATTTCCAGCCAGTAAAATGGATTGGCATTAAACTCGTTTTCCTTTTACAGGTGAACAAACAAGGTCAGAACAATTAAATACTGTCCTCAGGTCTCAGAAAAAACTGACAGGTTCAGCCACAAAAGCAAGCCTTCTGCTTCCAAGTAGTTGTCCCTCGGTATCCATGGGGGATTGGTTTCAGGACCCCTGTGGATACCAAAATCCAAGGATGCTCAAGTCCCTTATATTAAATGGTATGGTATTTGCTCATAACCTACACACATCCTCTTGTATACTTTAAATCAGCTCTAGATTACTTATAATCCCTAATACAAAGTAAATGCTACGTAAATAGTTGCCAGAGGGCGCAAATTCAAGTTTTGCTTTTTGGAACTTCCTAGAATTTTTTTCAAATACTTTCCATCTGCTTTTGGTTGAATTTGCAAGTGCAGAACCAGTGACAGAGGGGAGGGCCGACTGTACTCAGCTTCATTCTCTCCTGGGGGCCTTGAATGCCTGTCATCTCCCTGCTCCACTCCCCCATCCCATACTCACATCCCAAAGTGAATCTGTACACAGGGCACTTATGTCCAACTGTCCTTATATGACTTTGAAGAAAAAAAATAAAAAACAAATGCCATAATTCCTGACCCCTGGGGAGATACACATGCATGAATGCATGGTTTCAAGCTGGCTCTGCACTCCATACCAAGAAAACGGACAAAGTGCTAAGGAAGCCCACAGTAAAGCAGGATGAATTCTCTTTAGGAGTTCAGGAGAAGGGAAACAGGACTGGGCAGGAGCTCCTGAAGGTGGTGAAAGAGGGAGGTGAATGTTAGGGCTGTGGCTGCAGGATAGGCAGGTACAAAGAATGTAGAGGAAGGCCGTGGTTTGTGCGGGGACCCAGGGCAGTGGGTGGGTGTGTCTGTGAGAGAACTGATGCGTGAGACAGGAGGGGCCCCTCACGCCAGGTTTAAAGCTTTGGACTTGAGCTATGGTCTGGAAAGCCAGAAACGGTTTTCAAACAAATGTTATACCTAAGTTTTAGAAAAATATTGTGTCTCACCATTTGGTGGGGAAAAAGGCTATGGACCCTGCCGGTAGACCACTGCCACAGACCAGAGACTGCCTAATACAGAGGAAATGTCTGCACTAAAGACTAGAAGATGGAACTGCCAGGCTGGGTGACTGGGAGGGAGGGAGGGGAGGGAG